GAGACTATTGCTGTTTGTTTAGATTGTACCTATTCCGAGTGGCCTTTGAACCATTTACGACTTCCCCTAGGTGCCAATCAAAAGGAAAGTAAGTTTTGGAATCCCGTGGTGAAAAAGTTTGAAAAAAAGATGGCGGCCTAGAAGAAGAAATACATTTCTTTGGGGGGTAGAGTAACTTTAATCAGAGCAACACTTGGCAATTTGCCAAATTACTTTCTATCAGTCTTTAGGATGCCTAATAGGGAAGCTAAGAGGATAAAAAAATTGATGAGGGAATTCTTGTGGGAGCCTGGGAAAGAGAGAAAGGTTCACTTGATTATGTGGGAAGTGGTGAGCTAAAATAGAAAAGAAGGGGGTTTAGGGTTAAGGAATTTAGTTAGTAAGAGTGAATCTCTTTTATGCAAGTGGCTTTGAAGGTGGCCTCTAGATAAAGAGAGATTATGTCATGAGGTGGTGGCTAGTATCTATGGCTACTCTAAGACTAGTTGGGATGCTGGGGTATCTTGACATGCTTTGCTCACAAGTCACAACACCTTGGAAGGCAATTTCTGGCACTCCGCCTAAATTCCTTAAGTTTGTAAAGTATGATGTTTGCTCTACTATGATATTGGTCCTACAATTTTATCCTCCAGGGATGTCTTGATTCAAGATAAATTCATGAGGAAGTACCCCTTGGAGGAGATTACCTGCAATGAAAGCGACTAAAGAAGAACTCCCAAATGCAAGTACATAAGGGTAAGAGTTGAGACAAGGATTGAAACAAAGATGGATTGAATGAGAAGATGGAGAGTTGAGACAGGGATTGGAATGAAGAAGTTGGTTTTAGAAGAAGGAAGAAGCAAGAGTCTATTAGTCCTCAAACTAAGAGACAAGGGAAGAACAACCATTTTCTTAATAGGCGAGGCTACGTAGTGGCTGAAAGGGTTCATCGGTGGAGCATGTTTCTCAGTAAAGAAAAATGGGTGGATGAGTTATCTGGAGCTTCCAAGAAGGAAATATCAGGTGGTGCTGAAGTACAACCAGAAGGGCTGGTTCGTGGCTGTGACTGAGATTTCTAGCAACAATAGAAAACAACTGGTATGCCTACCAGAAGGAAGACAAGGATTGGGTTGGAGCTTGTTTGCTTAGAAGCTGCAAGAGTTTTTGGAGATGAAAGTGAATAAATTAATTTAAGGAGGAAATTCCAAGAATAAGCAAGATAAAGAGTTAGAAGAAGTGATTGTAAGGGGTGCAAACAAACTGCAAAAGATGATACTGGAAGGAAACGAAGAAGGATGGGAGAGGACACTGGTTTTGGAAGCAAGCGGGGAGGGTTTGGATTTTTGGAATCATATTGAATGTGTTGAAAAAGAAACTACATGTGGATACAAGAGTTTTGATTGTTCCTTTTGACAATAAATGAGCTCTTTTGAAAGTTGAAGAGGAAATAGTGGATTTTGACAGGTTAGATACAAAGGTGGGTGTGATCCTAGTGCGGAAATGGTCTGTCTCCTACAACAGAAAGGTGCTTCATAACGGAGCTTTTGCTATCAGATTGTTTGGATTGCCTTTCAATCTTTGGAACAAGTCAGCGTTGGAGAAGGTTGTGACAATGATAGGAGGGATCTTCATTTCTTGCAATTTTTCGAATCTTAGCTCGGTAGTGGTGGAAGTTGCTGGAGTGAAGCCAAAAAGAGGTGCTTTGATCCATTGATGTCTTCTCAAATGGAATCAGGTCGAAGGTTTGGATTGCATCGGAACACAAAACGTCATTGTAAGGGGATGGTCAAGGGGTTGAAGATGAAGCTGATAGGGAAGGGGGGAGGCCACGTGGCAGCCACAGTTTGGAAGAGCGTCTAGTGGTAGAAATTTTAGGTGTGGAAGAAGTTTTGGCGGGGAAAAAGAAGAATTAATCTTAGTTCTTGGAAAGGATAAAAATATTAAATGATTTTGGAAAGAGGGAAGTTGAGAACGAGAAACAAAAGGGCGTGGATCCTTTAAGTTTGGATATTTTGGGTGACCTGATTAGCCTAGATGGCCCAGGAAAATTTAGCGGGTTGGGTATTAGGGGCGAGTGCTCCAAACCAGGTAGGATTCTGAAGACCTTTAGCAACTCATCAGATAATCCCGACGAGTCTTCTCTTAGAAATGAAATTCGAGATGCTAAGTTTCTCTATCCCGGCGAGTGCTCCAAACGATGCTGAGTTTTTTCTATTTTATCTATCATCATCTAATCATGTTTCATCATAAATATTTAATGCAACAACATGAATTTAACAAAATGCTAACATATTCTATATTAGTTCAAATTACTTGAGAGAATTAAACAAATAATGCTTTAAAATGACTTTGTGGTTGATTAGGTAGTTGTTAATCAACTAGTTGATGGCTAGTTGTCCTAGGGAACTTTATCATTACCATCGACCAACTATGATGTGGTTGATTTGTCCCTTACTAGGCAGTCGGCTGGTCAATGACTAGTTGAATCTTTGATTAACTGCTGTTTAGTGTCATATCCATTGCCAAATTATGAGCACTTGAATCATTTCTTGCTACTTCAATTGGTGCCCTAAGATCAGTAAACTAATTCCATCATCCAAACGATGTACCAAGATCTCATTTAGTCTAGACCACCCAACTTATGTATTAAATTGTTAGGGACTCAGAAGGGCAGAAGCTATGCGTGTATTCTAGAAGAAAAAGGAGGCCATGTCAGCCTAGTGAGTAAGTTTCAAAGACATTGTAATTCTGTTGTAAGCCAGTTATGAAAGTAGCTGAACTAGTATAAAATGACATTGTATCTGGACAAGAGAAGTTTGAATAAAGTCTTACCTTCATTCCCTCCTTGTCTCTTCTACTTCTAACCCTGGAGGTCATCCTCCCTCAAAGAGTACCGAAGTTGGGGAGCTACCTAACGTAGATCATCCCAAAGATCTAGTTCATCAAAGTTGTATTCTAGGATCAATGAACTAATATCAACCACCCAAGTGAACACCCAAGTTCAACTAATTTGGGCTGTCCAAACCATCTACATGGTCAACCAAAAAAATCTAGGCTGTCAAAGTGGTATTCTAAGTCAAGAACCTTGGGTGTCCAAGCAATTTACCAAGATTTCAATTAAACTTGCCATTCAAGTAAAGCATCAAAATTTATAAAAAGTCTAAGCTGAATAAAGTGATGAACAAAATAAGTGACAGATTTGAACCATCAAATGTTCTCCTAAGATTAGTCAGCTTTTTTTATCAGTAACTAAAACAGATTAATTAATTAAAAAACAATTAGGTACAAAGATGGAGAAAGGGAGAGATAAATTCTCTTAGCTCTTCCTAACGAAGAATTGGCATCTCTTTTCAACCGGACCATCAAGTGGCCTCCTAAGATTAGTCTGCTTTTTTGATCAGTAACTAAAACAGATTCATCAATTAAAAAACAATTAGGTACAAAGATGGAGAAAGGGAGAGATAAAGTCTCTTAGCTCTTCCTAACTAAGAATTGGCATCTCTTTTCAACCAATGTAGAGTCACCTCCATTGCATGTAACTGCCACATGATTTTCCTTTTCTTGTAAATGTAACCCCACCACCCAGCCTCATTTTCCTTTTGTAGCCAACTTATAACTAGCTTTGAATCCCCTTCAATTGACAGCTTTCGGATGTTCAGTTCCTTATCTTTTTGATTTCCTACTACTACAGCCAATATTTCAGCCCTCAATGAGTCGGTCAGCCTAATTAGGCCTGAGTAGAGAGTAATAACTCTTCCTTCTGCATTTCTGGGTACACCTCCAATGCCTGAAGGACCTGGATTTCCTTCATTGCTGCCATCAGAAATCAGCTTTATAAACCCACCCGAGGGTGGAGACCTAGATGGCCTAATGTGGTTTTCTGTGATTAACGGCAGCAATGAAGGAAATCCAGGTCCTTCAGGCATTGGAGGTGTATTCAGAAATGCAGAAGGAAGAGTTTTTGCTCTCTACTCAGGCCTAATTAGGCTGACTGACTCATTGTGATTGATGGGTTAATCTCAACCATCCAAGTGATACCAAGATTTCAACCAATCTAGGCCTTCCAAATAATGTCCCAAATCAACTCCAAAAGAAAGGCCATCAAGGTGGTATCCTAAAGATATTGCCCATCCAAGTGCCAACAATCTGGTTTGTGAAAGTGGTGGTATCCATAAATGAATCAATGGATCTAAGCCATCTGAGTGATGTGCCAGATTTTTCACATGGTAGAATTTAGATGTCTGCCATTAACAAAAATCAGACATCACCATGTCTTGAATTTTGCTTACAAAAAACGGTATGTGGGCAACCACTGTTAACACCTTCTGGAGGTTAAATATTATGAAAGTACAAGGACGAAGTGACAGAAAATGTTACAGGCAGCTAAGTGTCACACTCCTTGAAGTGTAGAGGAGGTCCCTGAAATTTACATTAGTCCTTCTGACACCATCTTATTCTGCTGATGCCAGTGGGATTAGATTAAGAGTGGCTTGGCCAGAACTTGAGAAGAGCAACCAGTGCTCTGACACCAACTTAGAAGAATCTGGGCAGAAATTAATACATGTGAGCAAGAAAGAATAAGTAGAGAGAAGAGGACACAACATAGGAAGAGAGAAATTGAGAGTCTGGAGAAAGAATGGATTGTACAAACTTACCCTTTGCACTAATATTTCAACTTACTAAACTTTCAACTTTCATATTCGGTAAATATCTCCTTTGTCGCTTGCATCAAAAATACAATTCTAAGATTCTAACTAATGAAAGTTACATTTCTGAAATCAATCGCTACATCAGTTTGAAGCTAAGCATCACTTGATTGCTTTCTACTGCTTTTAAGTTTGTTTTAATTTCCATTTGTTTTAGTTTAGAGAACTTAATGGTATTGGTAGATTTTATAATGAAGCAATAGTAGTTTAGTATTTTTTTTACTATCTTTTGTATCAATGTTGCATTTTGTCAATCAAATTAATGTCTTTATTTGTGGAAGTTGATTGGTTCTTTTTTTTCTTATTTTGTACCAGAGTGATTTTCTACTCATTGTTTTGAAGAACCTAATTGAGAAGCAATCAACCCATCAAGGACCAAAACTTAAGGTTATTTTAATGTATGGTCACATTTACAAGATATCACTTTTATTCATCAAGTAGATGAGGCATCTTCTGCACTTTTGTTGATTTTTCTTGAATAGACTCATATTGATGTTTGGAATTTTACTTACGTTTTGATTATTCAGGTCTGCAACTGTTGATTCAAGCTTGTTCTCAAGATACTTTGGAAACTGTCCTGTAGTTACTGCACAAGGGCGAACACATCCTGTGTCAACTCTCTTCCTTGAGGATATTTATGAAAATCTCAACTATGCTCTTGCTTCAGATTCTCCTGCTTCTTTAAAGTGTTTTACATCCACAAAGGGGAAGGTCCGTTTAATTGGCTCCTAATTTATAACTTCGAATGTAGATCTCCTGGATTTTCTTATTCTTTTCTTTTTGTTTATTTGGAGACAAAGAGGAATTTTATTATTATTCTTTTTGAGAAAATATTATTTTCATTCAAGAGAAAAAGGGGGAAGTACATGTGAAGATGTACAACAGGAGTAGAAGGCAAACGGGCCAGACATGCCTACATAGACAGCGAACTGTCACTATACAAATAGTGCAAGTAAGCTCAATATTTTTCTAGGCCATCTGCTAATACTTTCAGTTCCCTTGGAATCCAGCATAAGTTTTATTACTACTAAAGTACTAATAATGCGTAGTAAATGCTAGCACCTGAGGGAGCCAAAAATTGCCAAGGGCAACTGAAGTCCAATGAAAGCCTACCTATACAACACAGACACTCTAGCTGTTTCAACTAGTTTTAATATGAATATATTGCAGAATAAAAGTGGAAGAGAAGAGAAAAGAAGAGATAAAGAGAGGACAAGAGTGGAGGAAATAACGTTTCATGGGATTCGGTTGATTGGTTCCAATCGATCTCATTATTATATATTTAGGTGGTTGGTGCCTTTGTTTTGGCTGCAACTTAAGAAAATGACATCAATACCCCTTATTAGTGATTCATCATGAACTGACAAATCTACCTCTATTAACACCATAAACATATGCATTAACCATGAAACAATAACTTCAACATTCCTTGAACTTCCCCTGAAGCTGGGGAGTTTATTCCATAAATCACATTTGTTAGAAATAATGTCAACTTAAGATCTTTTTAAGGATTTTATAAATAAGTGAGCTGATCTCTTAATTTGACATGTGGTGTAATGATGTCTTTATCAAGCAGCCTCTTTTGAACAAGATGCCAATTCACTTCAATGTGTTTAGTTCTCTCATGGAAAACTAGGTCTGAAGCAATAGTAATGACAGCATGATTATCACAGTGTAGACTCATAAGAAGCATTTAACTAGAATCGCCAACTCCTGTAGAAATGTCATCCATCACAAAAATTCACTAGTATGGGCCATATCTTGATCTGTCTCACCACTTGGTTGTGCCACTACACATTGTTTCTTACTTTTCTAAGTTGCCGAGTTTCCCCTCTAGAAAAAGTATAATACACTGTAGTGGACTGCTTGCCTGAAGTTGAGACAGTCCAATGAACATACCATGCATTCACTTTGCTTTGATCTCTGATTTTCTATACAACATTCTATGAACAATGGTCCTTTTATATACTTCAATATATGATTGATTGCTTCTCTATGTGGTGTTCTTGGGGAGTCCATAGAGTTGATCACACTCGCTGTTTAGGAGATTTAAGCTCTAGTAATGGTAAGGGTCTGTTTGGTTTGTGCAGGATAGGAATTGGAATCAGAACCTAAATCCCCTGGAATTAGAATCAAAATTGCCTATTCTTGATGCCTTATTGGTATAGAGGGAATTGGAGTTGGATTCCAATTGTTGCTATTTGGTTCATCTAAAGCTGAATTTGGAATCAACCAAAAATTTTCAGTTTTTTATTAGTTTATTAATATTTTATTATTATTGTTATTATTGCTTTAATAATATTATATTAATATTCTATTAGTACTTTATTGATAAAAAATTCTATTAGTACTTTATTATTATTTTATTAACATGTAGTTATTAACATCTTAGTATTTTATTATTAATTTATTAATATTTTTATTTATATATTAAAATTTTGTTATTAGTTTTCTAATATTTTATTACAAGTTTATTGATAATTTATTTTTTAATTATTGACATTTGATTATTATTTTATGAATAATTTATTAATATTGTATTATTATTATTATTATTATTTTATTATTACTTTAATTATATTATATTAATATTTTATTTTTGTATTATTATTTAATAACTAATATTTTTGTATTCTATTATTAATTTATTACTATTTAGTAGTTTTTTATAATTACTGTATTATTATTTTATTAATATTGTTATCTTAATGTTACTTTGATAATATTTTATTAATATTAGTGTTTGGAAGTTTTTTTATAAGGAGTATTTTACTTTTTAAGAAACTTTTGAATGGGAATCAGAATCCCATTCTAACCAAACAAATAGATGGAATTGGAATTGGCCTTTCTGAGTTCGATTCCAAGCTCCTATTTTGGGGAACCAAACAGCCCTTAAGATAATTCAATTTCCCAACCTGCCTGTATCTCCCTGGGTAATCAAGTTTCTTTGATCTACTGTCACCTTCACACTGGGGTCTGTTGGAGTAGAGCATGGTTTGGACTAGAAAGTACCTCAGCTTTCCTAAGTCCATATGAAATCTTTTCTGAAAATTGGACTTTAAGTTTTCTAATGCCTTTCTTGTTATCACCTGTAATGAGTTGTCCACCTACACTTTTAAAATGATTTTGTCCCAACACAAACTTTCTGCAGAACATTGAATGATCTAACCAACCTTTCTTCAACAAAAAAGTCATCACAACATCACTAAATTTTCCAAACCAGGCCTGAGGGGATTGCTTAAGGCCATAAAGTGTCTTTATCAGATAGTAGACCTTCCCAGACTCCCCCAAAGAAACAAACCAAGGTGGTTGCTTCCATGTATGCCTCTTGTAAGTCACTGTGTAAAAAAGATTTTTTGACATCTAATTCAAGGTGTGGCTAATAGTAAGTGGCTTCCAGAGAAATAATGATATGCTCTAAGGCTAACTTTGCAATTTGAGAAGACAAAGAAAATACAAAAAAGATGAAAGGATAAGTTGGAAATAGGTTTAATAGATCCTATATGAGAGACAGGAAAAGATTGTCCATTGGAAAGTGTCAGTGTGTAGCTAGTCTACGTGGGGAACTAGGACTCAAGTAGATCTGAGTACTTGTCATGTGATCTGATGCTCCAGAATTGACAATCCAAAGAGCAGATGTTATGGAAATGAGACATGCTGAGACAATACCTGATTGGGCCAAAGAAGAAGTGGATGAAGAAACTTGGGAGGTAGACATCATTCTTGTGTTTTCTTTCCTTGAGATAGTAATTGTCTGATCAATTGTTTGAGGTTGGTTCTGATGTGTCTGGGTGCTAATAGGTATAGAGGTGGTTGTACTGTCCTTATGTGTGGCGTGGTTTGGAAACCCCCTGACTTCTGATTCAGAATACAACAAAACTCCATGATGTGTCCTTTACCACAATGAGAACATGCCTGGAGAGTGTTTAAGCTATGAGAATGGTAAATGGTGTGCCCCTCTTTCTTCTCTGATAACCTTACTGTTTCTACTGGTTTTAATATGAAGAACCCTGCAGACTAAGGTAAGAGGAGAAGAGAAAAGAAGAGGGAAAGAGAAGAAAAGAGTAGGAGAAAGAACAGATTGTGGGATTCAATTGACTGATCCCATCAATCTTAATTTTTAGTTATATTGGTGGTGGCTGCCTTTGCTTACGATCAACCATTACTTGGGCTGCGACTCGTGCAGGCTCAATCCAAGCCTTACCCAACCTGAATTTTTGTATGGGTTGGGCCTGTGTTGTCAGGCTGCAGGTTGTGCCTGGGCCAGAAAACTCAGGCCTGAGTTGCCTGACCTAAACTTTGGTTGGGATTTGGTTGAGGGCTTGGGGAGCCTAAGCTCAACCTGAGACCACCTAAACAAATACATACATACATGAATTTTGTTTATATAAAATTATCTTTTTTTTTCCAAATTATATGTACATGTATATACATAAATAAAATATGTATATGCATATCTATAAAATGACATTTGTACATATTTTCAATCAATCCTGCCCCTAAATTAGGCCATTAAGCCTAATAAAATATGGCCACGCAAAAATATATTCATAAACTCTTTCAAACCAATGAAATAGCCCAAGCCTGACTAAGCTCGGCTTTACCCAACCTGAGCCCAAGACTGGCCTAAGTTATGTTGAGTTGAGCTTGGGTTGGGCCTTGGTCTATAAGCTTGGGCTTAACCTTGGGATGGGCCAGGCTTGAGTTGTACCTTCAACCCAGCCCAATCTGTTTGTGTTGCATCACCTGGTCCAACCCATTTGAGTTGCACCCCTAACCATTGCTTAAAAGTGATTTGTCTTAAACCGGTAAGTCTACATCTATGATAAACCATAAACTTAAAACAAAATATTATGCATGAAACATGAAACTATAAACTCAAAACTCCTTAACATCTTGCTGAGAATATTAGGGCCCTAAAGGAGAGCATGCTCCTTGTCAATGTGATCTGTACTCATCAACTGAATATCCACTCCTAACATCAAAGGATCATTATGTGTTAAGGAGTGCATCCAACATGCAACATGTAAATCTCAATATATAAATCTTAATTGCCAGGAGTTCATCTAATGTATTTTATTGGCTCACTAGTCAATTGCCCACCTTCTTAGCTTGGGCTTGAAATCCATTTTTCATCTCATGTGAAGGGAAGACAAAAGACTGGTACCATGGGGGAGGTGTTGGGAGAAGTTTGCTTATAGCTTTTCTCTCAATTTGAGCAGTTGGCCTAGATTTTATGTTTAATTGGATGGTGTGTGTAGAGAACATTAGTGTGGTCCCCACTGTTCGTTAGTTTATGTTTATCTTTATATTTATTCAGTTCAGCAGTTAACAGTTATTTCAGTTTGTTTTATTAGTCCTTTTATTTTATTTATTTGCCATGCAAGCAGTAAGGGTAATTCAGCCCTTTTATCTTTATTTAAACATTAATATAAATTGTAGAGTGGGGCAACAATCTAAGTCAAGGCACTCTATTTCAGGATTCTCCTCTTCGTGTCCTTCTCCTCTTCTCTTCTCTTGGTCTCCCTCTCCCTTTCTCAATCTTTTATTTTGATTATTTCATATCTAACCTAGGACTGATTGCAGTCCTATTCGACTACTTGGTATTAGAGCCAACCTAGGGATTCTTATGCTAGTTTAATAAGGTTGACTACATGAGAACTTCCTAGGGTTGGAAGTTTCAGCAGAGATATGTTCATCGGCTGGTTCTT